ATTTTCCGTAGTAGTTGAAGCTGTAATGAAGCTTGATTGTCAGCTAGTGGATTAGATAGACCTCTTTTCTCCTAGTATACAACAAACTAGGCCATAGAGTTCCTGATGCAAGTGTCCAGGCAATGTTTTTTGGTTTTCCAGATTCAGAAGACAGTCTTCTAAGCAGTTTGTGAATGATGCCGGAAGCTTTACTTCGTTTCTTATGTCTAATTCTTTAAATCATATGTTACTCAAAAGAACAATGGATGTCGCATGGTATGTTTGTTCAAGGCTTCTTCATATGGTTTATTTATATGCATTTTGATAAATTGATTTTTATACTTTTTTCTTTGATTTGTGATACATTTCAGGTTGTTACAGCAAAACGCTTCAATAATGTTGTCAAGAAAAATGGTGTTGGTTTGACATTTGCATGTATGGCAATGAGTTCACTTGTTGACGGTCCAGCTGATGAGACAAATCTGACAGGAACGGGTGAGATCAGACTGATGCCTGATCTGTCGACTAGATGGAATGTTCCATGGTACCATTTTTCTTGTAAGAGATAAATGAGACAATCTAGTTTCCTAGTACCTGTGTTGCAAATGGTGTGCCAATACTCTGATGTAGCATCTAAGTTCTATTGGCTCCTTTTGCATTGTGTACGTGTACATACTTTTTCCTGTATCTCGGCTGTCAGATATTTAAGAGTGGAGAGCCAAAGTGAAAATTTTGAATTCTTGGTATTATATGATGCACATGGCTCTAAGTTCTGACATAGCATCATCATTGCTGCTGCTGCTGCTACTACTGCTACTACTACTACATTTTATCGTTGTTCTGTTAACACAATATTGACATCTCCTTTTCCTCAATAGGGCAAAAAGAGAGGACATGGTCTTGGCTGACATGCATCTTAAACCTGGTGAGCCATGGGAATATTGCCCAAGAGAGGCCTTAGGAAGGGTTACAAAATTGCTAAAAGATGAATTTGACATGGTATGTTAGTTATTCTATTTCTAAAAGGTGAGGTTATAGACTTAGAGCTTTTTTACACTCAATTGATGTATTCCACTTATGCAGGAGGTGAATGCAGGTTTTGAAAATGAGTTTTTTCTCTTGAAAAAGCTGGAAAGGTTTGCCATTTAATGAATCCAGGTGTATGCCTTTCTGTCATTTAGCAACCTTGGGCTTTGTACATTATTTCTTTAAACTTGTGCAGAGAAGGGAAAGAAGAGTGGGTTCCAATTGACTCAACACCTTACTGCTCCACTGCTGCATTTGATGTTGTCTCTCCTTTATTTCATGAAATCATTGCTGCTCTTAATTCTATGAATATTGAAGTTGAACAGGTACATAAGAGAAGTGATAATGTTTTTTCATTTTTTCTAATTTGAGACAACCATGTTATTCTTTGGCCATGCAATATGTGTCTTTCCTAGTTTTGTCAACTACTTTCACTTTTGAAATTTGTAGTTGCATGCAGAAGCTGGGGAAGGTCAGTTTGAGTTGGCTCTGGGGCACACAACTTGTACTCCTGCTGCTGATAATTTAATTTTCACACGTGAAGTTGTTAAGGCTGTTGCAAGGAAACATGGATTGTTGGCAACTTTTGTTCCAAAGTAGGTATATATTTTTTCCCCTATTTGATTTTAGATGATTCTGTGCTGAATTATTATAAAGCCAAAGTTGGGTCAAACTTTAAGTGCCTGATCCTATTTTTGAATTTTGGAAAATAAATACATCCTAGTAGAGGATGACTGAGTGTATTACCATTTCAGCTACTCTTGTTGCAACTATGAGATAATCTAACATCTTGAACCATGTAACGTGGTTGGTTCTGCATTCTGTGTTCTGCCCCAGGTATGATTTGCATGATGTTGGCTCTGGATCCCATGTGCATCTCAGTTTATGGCAGAATGGGAAAAACATATTCGCGGGATCTGGTGGGTCCAATCAGCACGGGATGTCTACAGTTGGGGAGCAATTTATGGCTGGAGTTCTGGATCATCTTCCTTCAATCTTGGCTTTCACAGCGCCAGTTCCAAATAGGTTATCACTCAAGCCACAAAATACCAAATTTCAGTGTTAATATCTGATTGTGTTCCAAAAGTTCATGTTTGATATATGGTTGTTGCAAATTTTTGTTTGTTTATGCTATATAATATTCTTAACAGTTCACTTTCACTTTTATCCATCCATCCCTAGTTATGATCGAATACAACCTCATATGTGGAGTGGAGCATACCAGTGCTGGGGAAAAGAAAACAGAGAAGCTGCATTAAGAACTGCAAGCCCACCTGGTATACCAGACGGTTTGGTGAGCAACTTTGAGGTTAAATCTTTTGATGGCTGTGCAAATCCACACTTGGGCTTGGCTGCAATAGTTGCTGCTGGAATTGATGGGTTGAGGAGGCATCTTCATCTCCCTGAACCTATTGGTAAGTTTCATTTTCCTTCTTGTTCACCAAATGTGATTATTGAAATTAATTATAATGTGGCACAATGTGAAACAGATGGAGACCCGGCTGACCTTGAGGGGAAACTTAAAAGATTACCTACATCTCTTTCTGAATCATTAGAGGCTCTCAGGAAGGACAATGTCTTGCATGAGATAATTGGCGAAAAGCTTTTGGTTGCTATAAAAGGAGTTCGAAAGGTATGTGGAAACATGCTTTCTAAAAGGTTATTTAGAAATAAAATCCACGAGCTTATGCATCATTCTTTTAAATTCCTTGCGAGAAATTTTCCCTGCCATTGTGCTCTTTGAAGTTTATTTTGGTTGTGGGATGCACTCCCCCTCCTGTCTCATGCATATAATGAATACTGAGAATTGGTTCTCATTTGCAGGCTGAAATTGATTACTACTCAAAGAATAAGGATGCATATAAGCAACTTATACACCGCTACTAAACCAATAAAATTATAAACAGAGATGAAAAGTTAGGTTCTTCATATGTGTTGCGTTCTATATCTGTGTTGTGCATTCTGTAATATAAACTGTGTCAAATGTAGCTTAGATTTCCTTCCTCATTAATGTATTCTCCTGTATCCATGTATTGTCTCTTATTCTCGAGGATGATATATTCTCCTTTTTCTAAATTTATTGGTTTAGCAGGTACTTGCTCTGGCATCTAGAACTTCAAGTTTCTCTGTACATGTAAATTCTGTTCAGAAAACTTGGCACGGAGCAAAACCAAAAGTTCTGTGCAACCAACTAATTCAACAAGGTCCTCTAAATATTCATCTTAAGCAAAAACAGGGTAACAAACTTCACATTACTATATATGCATATACCAAACTTAGCATAGGAAATGTAGCAGACAGCAGTATATATACACGTTCGAGCCTCGTAATAATCCCACAAGACATGATTAGATTGAGATTTCCGAACATGAAGAATATCGTGCAGATTTCCCCTCGTTTTCTGGCCGCAACCATGGTGTCAACTTCGAAAGCCATCTTTGCAGGGTCGCTGATTTTAGCTATTGTATTGTCGGTTTCATCATCTACGAGACATGCCGTTGCAGCCAGTCAAGTTGCAGGCCCTAAGCACCACAGAAAACCATTCAAGCCCGGTCCATGGAAGCAGGCTCATGCCACCTTCTATGAGGGTGGTTCCGGGACATTCGGTATGAAAAGCCTTGATGAATAGAATCAAGTCCATGCCATACGTATTTTTATACTGCTTTCAAACATAAGAACCCAAATGAAAATGATAGCAATTAGTATATGAAATATAAAGCACCAGTATTTGACATTGTTTTCGAATCTAGGGGGAGCTTGTGGATACGAGGATGTAGTGAAGATGGGATACGGTCTAAATACAGCAGCATTGAGCACAGCCATGTTCAACAATGGACAGAAATGTGGTTCTTGCTTTGAGATCAAATGTGTAGATAATCCTCAATGGTGCAAACCCGAACAGTCATCACTCATCCTCACTGCCACCGATCATTGCCCGCCGAACTACAATCTGCCTAGTGACAATGGAGGATGGTGCAACCCTCCTCGTGAACATTTTGACATAGCCAAACCTGCCTTCTCTCAAATTGCAGAGTACAAGGCTGGCATTGTTCCTGTTCAATATAGGAGGTCATTGTTTGATTCGGCTTTGGTTTGATGATATGCACCAAACTGAATGTGTTTGGTCATGTTTGCTAATCTTCCACATGACATGGATTGAATTTTTGAATTTTGTTGCAGAGTACCATGCAAGAAGGAAGGAGGCATTAGGTTCACCATAACTGGCAACCCTTATTTCAATCTGGTCTCCATATCGAATGTCGGAGGAGCTGGGGACATTGAGAGCGTGGAAGTAAAGGGTGATGACAAGCTCAAATGGACACCATTGAAGCGAAATTGGGGACAGAAATGGGAGACCGATGCCGAGTTAGTTGGGGAAGAACTTACCTTCCGAGTCAGAACAAGCGATAGAAGAACCTCTACCTCATGGCATATCGTCCCCAAGAACTGGCAATTTGGTCAGACTTTTGAGGGCAAGAACTTCAAGTGAAGAAGATGAATTATTATTCACATGCAATTTAGGGTTCTGCATGGCTCTTCTCTAATGCTTGCTGGAGAATGCAAGGACCTCTAACATACGTAGAAGATCTCGATGTAGTATTCTTAGAACCACATATCTGAATTACTAGGATTGACATTTTCAAAACAAGAGAAAAATACAGTGTTTTATTATATGTAAGAAGCACTAAGTGAAATGAATATTTGTATGAAATTGCTTTGCCGATCAGACATATAATGGTAAGAGTACAAACAGATGCACGAAACTCAAAATTTCACTCACTTAAATGATCATTTACATATCCTGCAGCAAGAATTATGGCAAGATGGAACTCAGAAACAAAAACAGCAGCACGTAGAACTTAATGCCTGCTCCATGGGAAAGAGAAGAAGCACAACCTGATGGATTTGAGCGGTGACTCCGAATGGCATGTTCCACATTGGCTCTTCCTACTTGTCAATGGCTAGCAGTTGAATTCTTTTGAATGCATGCTCCTTTTAGACAACCAGGAAAGGAGAAAACCGGAGTTGCATAGGAGTGACGAATTTCATGAGTGATGTTACAATCTGGAAACACACTTTAAAAGTTCTCTTTAGTTCTGAGAATTGTCTTATCTCCCAGCTGATGTCCAGACGTGCATATCATTAGATTTCTTCTGCCTTTTCTTCTTCCGTTTCTCTGTTTTTGTCTCTGTCCTTGCTTCTAGGCGTTTAGACTGCTGTGAACGGATTTCTAGCAACTTTGCCTTCGCATTTTGGAAGAGCGCATCTGACCTTGAAGCCATCAATTGCTGAATTGCCACAAAAGAGGAGAAAATAAAAATTCAGCTCTTTCTAGTTATTATTATTAAAAAAGAGATTTCTTAAGTCATTCGCTGACCTTCATATGATCCACGGCTGCAAGATTGATACCTAGAGTATCCTTGCATTCCTGAGACATTCAAAGTTCATCATTATCAACAAAGTTTCTTATATTTTTATATATACACACACACACACACACACACACAATCAATGCTAAAGTTGCATTGAAACATTCAAAATTCATCATTATCAATGAAGATGCTTAAATTTCTAACAGTTAAAAATATATACATAGGTGATGATAAAGTAGAGCTTATTTCTTCTTTTTCTTTTGCTATAATTTCTCTTCTTCTTTCGTTCTCTGGTAGAGTTGAAGGAGAAATCGTTAAAAATCAAATCAGTGATCCTAGAAATATCTCTTCACAATTCAAAAGAGTGACAGGCTAATTGCTGGTCAGTATGCTGCTAACAAAAGGCTAATTCAGGGATCTCAATAGATCATTTTCTGTGATCATCTAAGTTCTGTGGTGGAATATTCATCCAAAGCATATACAAAGTAACACAAAATGCAGCTAGCTAGTAATTTTGAAAGTGTCTTATTTTAGAAATTCTAAAAAAGTAATTTAGCTTCTAAAACTCTATATACAAATATAAACTCGATTTTTACCTTGATTCTTGCATGAAGAATCTCTTTGAGAACAGTCAATACTGGTCTGGCAGCTGGGGTAGTAACCAATTGATTATGATGAGTTTGCAACAGAACCACAGCAACCCTGCAAACCAGCTCAACCTGTGGACAATTTTCAGTAACATTTTAGGTACATTGATTAGTGCACTCATGCTTTCCACAATTCTCAAACATCAAAAGTTGGGGGAAAAAAAACTGAACAAATTGTCCTCTGTAAGCGAAATATACTAGCAAGTGCAACCTAATTAGTCCCCTATCAAAAGTACATAGGTAGACTGTTAGTTTCTAACAAATTTGAGCATAAGCGTATATAGCAGTGCAGATAGAGCACCTTATCCGGTTTTGAAGTCCAATCCTTCAAGTAAGACAGCAGCTTTAAAGTATCAGAGAATGGTAAAGCCTGGACAAAGCAGCACTTCCAATCAGACATGAGGATCAAACATGATTCCTTTTCTTACCAAGTAAATCATTGCCAAAAAATGATTGAGAATAACAGATAACTTCTATGGTAAAGGGGATCTAAATCTAAACAATCTTGCATGATTCATTTTCCTTAAGAAAAGGTTCATAGTCAAAGAGGAACCGCTTTAGGTGATCAAATTTATCTGTTTAATTGATAGTAGAATTACTTCCTATTGAGTGTATTTCATTTTTAGGTTAAATGCAAAATCTGCATAAATATAGCAGCTATGAAGAAAGACCGAACCAAAAATGTATGTGCACATGTAATGCTTACTTACCACTAACGTCTGCTCAAGGTCATTGGTGCTAACATTTGAAATTGCACGGAGGACATGGTCAGATGGTGAGAGCCCAAGCATGAAAATATTTGGTTGGAATTCAACCACTTTCCCTCTAGTTTTCTCCTCCTGAAAAATTCAAAGATTAAAAATATGAATTCCAGTACACAAATATATAAATAATTTTTCCAGTCATCCAACCATAACTAGTTTTGAGAAAGATCCCTGGCTTCTCTTCTAGATTAGTTCATCATATCAGCAATCTTTTCTGAAAGTCAAAGAGGTAAACTACTTGTCTGTAATAAAATGACAAAACTAGCTTTTGAAAAACCATGAGCATTAGTAGATGGTAGGATAAGCCTGCTTAAAACCACGTATATCAAAGGAATAGACCATTAAAGAAAGTTGAACCAAGGGAAACCAGTCGGTACTTATCTTTCTTCAAAATCAACTAAAGCAACCTTCCAAACACACAGGAAGCATTACAAAATATACCCCTATTGTTGAAAGCAATTTAAACCAGAAACATACCAGTTTAGGGGAAAATATACCTCATGTTCAGCAATTCGTTTTAGTTCTGCTTCTGCAATATCTAGTGCATCAATAATTGAATCAGTTGCTGTCAGAGTTTCCTGAGTTTTCTTCCCTGCTAAGGCTACAGCTCCCTCTTCTGGGATTTCTTCCTTAGGTGCATGCCTATTTTCAAATGCATTGTCAAGGTCAGCCTCAAACATTTCTTCCAATCTTTTCTCCTTTTCTTCCTGCACATTCAACAAGGGGTAAATTTTTTGAAAAATAAAATAAAAATAGGCAAGCTGCAAATTTAGAGAACCATAAAAATTGCTTTGGGATAATGATACAAGCACAACAAAGTACCTCAATGAAAAATGGTTCTTCAGTACGATCCCAACGACGTATGGACCTGTCATGAGATCCTGTGACAACAAAATCAGCACGATTACTGATGGCAAGACACCAAACATCTGCATGATGTCCCTCCAAAGTTAAAAGCAACTCAAACTTATCAGCATCCCAGTATTTTAGAAGGCGATCTTTCCCAACGCTAAACATGTAATGAGTATTGCGCACAAATTGCACTGCCATAACACTGCCATATAAATGTCCCATCAGAAGAGCCAAGTAAATTTTCTCTTAAATAAACAAAACTTAAGAAAACATTTAAAATTTTTTACTTGTATAATCATACACTACCTGTCACCATGAGCAAAGATGGACTTATGGCAGTCGCCAAAATCCAAACCCCATATTCTCAAATTTTTGTCTGCAGATCCGGTAACAAGCAGTTCTCCATCTGATGAAATATCCATACATAGCACGGGCAGCTTGTGACCATATAAAGAATGGAAAAATTTGAGCGAATCCATAAAGAAAACCTGCAGAGAATGGAAGAACAGAAAAATAACTAGAAATACATAGTAAAGCAGAAAAGTTGATATGTGAAATTCCTATTTGTGAAGGACACTCACTGAAAAAGATAAAGACAATGACAAAATGTCTTGAATGCAAACTAAGATTTTGAGTTTGACCCAAGTAACTTTTGAACCAGGCATTCTTTGTGTTTTTGCTTTTAGAATACCTCTCACACAAAAAAAACATGAAATGATCTATAAATTATTCTAAAACCACTATCTTTTTGAGGTAGAAACCAGCACTGACTTTACAGGGACAAAAATACATCAGGCACAACCTTCAATAAGAAATGTTGATGTGAAATGCACATAAATGTAAAGGGATAATGAGAAGTAAAAAAAACCAATGAAGCACATTTTCAGAAAGCTAAACAGAAAAGCCAAACAACACTTCCATTTACAACTTATGGAGATCTTAAATTACAAGAAACACATCTAACCAGAATGACTAAAAAATTTTAAATACAAAGTCAAAAAGAACTTAAAAGAGAAAACTGTCATTAACACCTTCACTGTGCAATCCAACAATGCAACTGCAATATATTTAGCATCCGGACTAACAGCAACAACTAGAACATCATCATTCATCTTCATAGTCCTTACATTTGACACAGTAAGGCATTTAGAATCCTGGAAACAGACAAGAACCAATATATTATTTCTGATGCATGATGCATCATAAACATACCCAAAACACAAAGAGAGAAAAAAGAAAAGTTGGGTTGGGTTGGGAACAGATAAATCAATATCTACACCTATAAAAGATTCAGAAAGGCAGCCATGATTCATAACATAATCAAGCATATATAGCCACTTTTTTTGTTTATGAGATATATTATATAATTAGAACACAAAATTACCACAAAGCTGCAACTGATGGAAAACCAAAAATAAGGTCCAAGCAAGATCTGTATTTCATACTTTATTGGAGGAAAGGTGCAACAAGCAACAGTATGTTAAAACACATTTTCACATAGTGTAGAGGGACCTAATTAGACAAGCTTCTGCACCTTCTTTTAGAAGGGCAACACATATTTGCATGGAAGACCTAAAGGCCCCCTTAATCCTCCAGATTGGTCACCACACCTACTATCTCCATCAGCTGTGTATTTTCCACAACCTTTTATAGATAAAGATACTTTCTCTTAGCTAGTGGAATGATCTTTTCTTGTTGATCTTCCTCAGTTAAAAGTTCTCTAGCCAATATAATTGCACATATTGCATTTATAGACTATAGAAATGGGAACAATTTGCGAAATTTTAAAAGTGAGAATTACCAAGGAATAATATAAAAAGGTTAAAATAGAAAGAAATGTGCAGGTATGAGGAACACACTTGACCAGGTTTCAGTTTGATTTGGTACTCCCAGAACTTAACATCATGATCTGCACTTCCAGTGACAAAACCATTTTCATTTGGAATTGCAGCAATTGACCTTACAGAGCCACCATGTGCTTCAACAACCTCAATGCCAGAGCCACTTCCAATGTCAACAATTTCGATCTTTCCATCTTTAGTCCCAACCAGAGCATACTTGTTATAAGGAACAATTAAACCACACAATCCATAGCCAGACTCAATAGTTCTAAGGCAAGAACCAGTACTTGGGTTCCAAATCTTCACGGCATTGTGACTAGTTGACATCAAAAGTGTGTTGTCCGAACTCAGTGTGACACTTCTAACATCAGAGCGGTGTCCCTGAATCTCAATAGCAAGTGTTCTTGTATTTGCACCACTTTCAATAGAATAAAACTCCAATAAATTATTGTTCAAAGACAATGCTAAAGTAACCAGTGAGTTCTTCGTAGTGTTTGGACAGAAAGAAATGGAACAGATCTTTTTGCTGGCTCGAAGGGTTTGGAGAAGCTTAAAAACATCTGGTACTGTAACAACAAGAGGGTTTCCAGCTTCTTCGATTCCATGATTTGCTTCTCCATTTTCAATTACTTCATCTGTCCCTTTTGTAGATTTCTTTTCTTTCTTACGATGAAGCCTACGTTTTGCTTTGCGCTTGGCTTCTGCTTCATCCAGTACACGGAAGATTTCAACTGTTTTCCCTGCCACTTGACAAGCAAGCAAAGTTCCTTGTTTGTTGAACCTCACAGTTGCCACTCTATCTTTGCTTTGTCGCTGAATCTCACCCAAGTGCTTTAAAACTTCCCACTTATTTTGAGAGGTTAAATCTCCATCATCCATACTTCCAGTTACATTCACATCAGTTGCGGATTGCTCATCCACCGACTCACCTTTAACATTATAAAATCTAAGTTCCAGATCAGAAGAACCAGTGACCAGGTATCTTTCCTCTGGATCAATGTCTATGGACCAAATTTCACTATGGTGACCACTGACTATTTGCATGCAGTGCTGAGTTTCAAGATCCCACACTCTCAAAAACTTGTCTTTGGAGGAACTAACAAGCTTTTTACCAGAGTCCAAAAACACAAGGTCTGTGACCTACAAAAGAAAACACAAAAAGCATTATAACAGGTTCAAATTACACTACTACACAGTTAGAACAAGAATAAATTACAACTACATCAGTCAATATATCATGTGTTTGAGAGAGGGAGAAGCTGCAAACCTGGTCACGATGCCCACGAAGGCGGAAAAGACCCCTCTCGCCAACCACATCCCACAATATAACATCATTATCCTTGCTTCCAGATGCAAGCAAAGATCCAGCCTTATCATATCGGAGTGCAGTAACGGCCCCTTTATGTCCATTATTGAATGTAATCTCACAGGTTCCTTTGTCACAGTCCCAAACTCTTATACTACCATCAGCATACCCACTTGCTACCTGCATTCAGATGTATTTTCACCTCCAATAGGGATATGAGAAAAGAAAAAAAGCTGAATTCATAATTGTTCCACAAAGAATATTTTAAAGCTTGCGGTCATAATACTGGGATCCTACATAATAACGTTAAAAATGATTTTGGGGATAAAAGGAACTGACTAAATTACCAGAGAAGAGGGGGAGGAGGCGACGGAGGTAACAGCAAGAGAGGGGCCACGCGAGAACGGAGAAGGGGTTAGGGTTTTGACGCAGACTCCTTGCCGGACGTGCCAGACGCCGAGCTTCTCGAGCGCCGGAGCTAGTAGGTGCTTCCCCGAGCTATCATATGTGATATTGGAATCGACGGAGACGATCACGCCAAAAGCAGCTGCTGGCTCGTACCTAAGGTACGCCTTCACCATGGTTGCTGGTTCGTGTTGCTGCTATGGCGGTTTAGTTTCAGTTAGGGTTTAAGAAGGGTTTCCTCCATGTCTTCTCTATTTTTCTTCATTTTCTGTTACATGTTTAATTTGGGCTATTCTGAAGTCCAGCCCAGGTATAAAAAGGTTCTTTTCCGCTCAGCAAGAATTTTTGGAAGGCTCAAGCCCAAGACCCATTTTGTGTGATAATTAGATAAACCCATTTTCTTTTGAGTCGGTATATTATACTTCGACCTACAAAACAGCGACTCTCCCTAACATCAGGACTCTCCTAATTCAATTGTAAATATTTTACAGTTTATACTACTAAATACATTTTGCCCTTTTCCTTTTCCTTTTTAATAAAGTAAACTTTTAAAATAGGAAATAGATGAAATGTAATATTTTTTTTGGGTCTTATGTTGCAGAGAGACTTGCTTCCGTAGCATACACGAAGGTTTATTGTGTTTCCTAGTAATTGTTAATATTCTTTGCTCGAGACCTGTGTTTACATGAAGAAGATGAGCAACTAGAGTTCATTTTTCTAATTTTGTTTCAAATTTGCAATTGAATTCTTCGATTTTGAACGAAAAGTTGGTAAATTTTGACAGTGCCGTGTTATTTAGTGAGTACTCTTCCAGAGATCAAACAAACTGAAATATTATATCCCAGCTTCTAATTTCCCAAAAAGGTACTTGAATTGATTAATAAATCCAATATGCAATTTCATTACATTTCTGAACCATATCATGCTTTGCTCCTGGAGTTTGACACCTTTCATGATGCTTCATGGATGGATGCCTAGCAAAGGACGGAAATGGATGGCTGGATACCTTCCGCTCCATGTTGGGAGGTGGAGGGGGTGGCATCTGTTGACCTGGAAAACCTTGAGGAGGAATTGCTGCAAGCCTAGCAGCCAAATTTTCCATTGTGCGGCGGGTTGGAGGCGATGGAGTGCCACCAGGGGGCATAGGCCTAGGACCGTTTCCCATGGGAGGAGGTGACAATCAAGAGCTAATAACTGGAGTTGGTGCTTGGTGGGGACTCTAGGAGGACTTACAACCCTTGTGGTGGAAGGTGGATGAGGGGGAGGTGGTGGAGTAGGGAGTTGCTGTTGAGGTGGTTTGAGGTTTGTTTGCCTCTATTGGTTTGACTTTGAAATACACCCTCAGCTGCAAGTTGATGAAAACTGAAGTTTTCAGATATGGACCAAAAAATTCCAAAATCAGTGTCTTTAGATTAATGTAGAATAAATGATTCAGACCAAAGTTGAATCAAATGATAAATATGCTCTAGCCTTCTAGGTTGCTGGCAGGAACAAAGCATATCAGGTTTGAAAAGGAGCTCAAGAACAAAAGCAGAAAGAGAGAAGAGAAACAAAGTAGGTAAACAGTAATGTTGAGACCTACTGTGAACACTTTGGAATCAGCTTTAGTGCCAGGACCTGAAAAGTAATACAGGAAGTGACATGAATAGTTATCAAAAATAGATGAGAGAATGTGAGCTAACAAGATTTAATAACCTTGAAGGCTGTGGTCTTATATCGTAAAGTTGCAAGGAAAGCTCAACATTTTTTAATATGTAATCTAATGATATTGAATCCCTAAAATCATTCATCAAAAGAAGGAACTATTAAGTAAGAAATATATAGCTACCCTGCTCATAAGATGACAGAACATGGTGCCTCAGCTTGGTATTGTCTTCTATCTTAGATACTCAATCCAGTATTGAATGATGGAAACGACAACCAAATTGTCATTGCCCATAAATGGTATCAAGACAGTATCATAAAATTGAACTACAATCGTGCATAAATTTTACCAGGAAGAGAAGAGACCTCTGTAGTCCTCTGTATTGTCTCTGGATTATATATATTGCTTTGTCACAAGATACCCATGCCTGCAAATTTTGATTGTGGAGAAAACAAACATGCATAAAGTCAACATAAAAAGATAACTATCTCACAAGGACATACAAACTCAAACATTGCCAAAAATTGGGATTTTGCCATGTTTGCACTAAAAAGATAGCTAAAGACGTGACTCTGAATCCTTAAGTGATGAAAATGATGCGGAATGGGCTAGTTGTAATGGTAGCTCAATAGCTCAAAATCACATACAATGCTCATGGCAGATTGACGGCAGTAATCAGTATGTAACACATTATGAAAATCAAATGTGAACAGAAATAAAATAAACCCTACGCATAGACCTCTTAGTCCTACAAAATGTTAGCCACCAGTGAACTTTGAAATGTATTACTAGTATAGGTCCATCCAAACACAGTTTTAAAAACTCAGCAAGAAAATATGAGTTCACATGACCCCATATATATATATATATATATATATTGTTCAGAGTTCCACATAATTCAATGAGCTATCTATAACGTTCATGTTGCAGAAGCAAATATGAATACACCGTGAAACTCAAATGAAAATAATGGTGTGAGGTAACACAACCTATTACCTTGAAAGCTATGAAGTCCATACAGAGCTGCTGCAAATAGAAGATACTGGGATGTCCTATCAAACAGTTGCACTCTCTGCATCCATATCCATGTAAAAGTAAACAAAGAAATTTAGATTTCGCTTTGAAAACAAAATAAAGTCGCTCTAAGAGCTCAACATTTTTTTTGTGGGATCTTTTGTACTTTACGGAATATTAATTTAGGGTAAATTATTGGGAATCCCTAAAACAATTGACCTAAAAATGGAACTGTTAGGTACATAAATAAACCACCAGCCTGTTTATAACACTGACATAATATGTTTTCTTGGCTTTGCATTATATTCTACCTCAAGTTCATTCCAGATTTGACATGCAATTGTAAGTGGATATCTAAATTAGCTGTTCTGGGCTAGAATCAGATTACTGAAAAATCTCATTTGAACCAATCCCAGCCTTGGCTAAATAGGTGTGAATGCAATGCATATCCCTAGAAAAAAAAGAGGGATTCAAGTTTGAAATAGGTGAAGGTGGTCAAAATTCAACGTATAAACTCAACATACCTGAAGCATTCAATCATTGGGAGGAAAACGAAATTTCAATAACAGAAGGATATTCTGCTTATTGCGGGTTAACCTGAAACAGAAATTAGAGATGCTAGTAACAACTAACAAATGCCACTCCCTTTATTTAATAAATTTATTATTTATAAATTCTGAGCTTCGGAAGAGCTTGATTGTACCATGATGTCATATATCTCAACTAGGGGAATGTGGGCTATGAGGGGCCAATACTCTCCTTTCTCCTGAAAACGCTCTCTTTTTAGACGCGGACAGCCATAGATATTTAGTTGTCCCAGCAATGGAGGCAGGCCTTCCCTTGGCAAGGATCGTAGTTTTGGGCACCTCCAAATCCGTAACCGTCTAAGAGAGTTAAGGTTTAAGAGGAGGCCTCTGGGCATGGATCTCAGATTCTGAATGTCTTTTATCCAAAGAAAAGTTAAAGAAGAAGGAAGCACATTATTTGGAGGACATATATGAGCAATGGAGAAGGAATCAAGAGAAGTGAGGGTGTGGAGGCCCCATTCTCGCATAGGCTGCCTTAGATTCTCACAGTCAATTGAAAGTTCAGTTAGGCTTGGGGACAAACCCCCTTCAGGAATTGACTTGATGCCTGGACACCCCATTATATGCAAGATTTGAAGTGATGTGAGGTTGTCCATCTTATTTGGCAGGGACTTGAGATTCTGACAATTAAATATTGTAAACATTTCAATATTGGGGATGGATAAGCTCAACTGCGGCATCTCCTGGAAGGACTCTAAAGCATCACATCCTTCAATGTTTAAACGAGTGAGATTGTTGATGCTGTTGAAGGATAAGCTTTTCAAATTTACACAACTCCGAATGTCCAAGTGTTTAAGTCTTGAACAATGTTGCAGCATCCTCTCTGAAATTGATTCCAACCTGTGCAATCATAAATAAATTTCAAAATGCTTTAAAAGAGCAGCTACTAACTGATCTTATAACTATGGAAAATATTTTAAAAATTTAGACATAGGGAAGTTCTGTTCTTTTGCAAAGTAATATACCTGGGGCACTTTCTAATTCCAATTTTCTTAAGAGCAGTTGGCAATCGATCGTTACTAGGAATAAAATTTAAAGATGGTAGTCCTCTGACTTCCAAATTTTCAATATTGTTGCTGGTGTCACCATCTTCTTGCACCAATATCCCCTCCGGTAAAGACTCTACTTTGGCACAATCTTTTATCTTTAACAGTCGACACGAGGCGGGTAACTTCCCTCTTGGAAAACGCTCTAGACAAGGACAATCCTCAATTCTCAACTCTTCAAGTCTCACCATGTTGTTGCTTCCATCTACCCTCATCATCATACGATCAGGTAAACGCTTCAAAACCCCACAATTATACAGAGAAAGATATTTAACATTGTGAGGCACGAGGCCTTGTTCTTCCCGTGACATTGACACAAGCAAAGGGCAATTCACAATACTCATATGTTTAAGATGAGCAAGCTTTGATGTATCTGCTCCTTCCTCCCACAAATAGGTAAGCTCCTGGCACCTTTCAATCTTTATATTCTCTAATGCAGTCAAGGAATCTGTAAAACTCTTGGGCAAGCAACCAAGCCCCAAGATATCTGAAAGTTTCAACATTGTAAGTGAAGTCAAATTAACCATGCTCTCCAGAAGTACTTGCTTGCAACCTTCAATGCGTATTTTTTCAAGAGACGGAAGACTTAAAGATGGACATATTAACTCTGGGCATCCCTTTATCACAAGATTAATGAGAGAAGAAAGGTGGCTGGGTAATTTTCCTGTCAGCTTAGGACAATTTGCAATCTCAAGGTCCTTCAAACATGAGAATTCTACTCCAGTGGTAGTCAGAAAAGCCCATTTCTCCCAGTTTAACATGTCATGAAACTTAAGCTTCTGCAGTGATGTAAAAGTGCCACGCCCATAAAACTCAGATTCAACAGTTTCAATTGCGTCCATGCCTTCAATAATCAACTCTGTGAGTGCAGGTAATTGCCCAACTGATGGCAACAAAGTGCTATTTTTACAACCAGACAACCTCAAATAGGACAAATTGCAAAAAAATTGATCACCAATCCAGGAAGGAAATTGCTTACCACCATAGCAACTAATTGTTAACTTTTTCAAATTTTGATGAGGTCTTAAGGAGCTGAGCACTTCCGCTTCAATATCACTTCCCTTTCTTGAGTCATTAAAATCAGAAGTCCATTTTAACACCAACTCATCTAGAGCTTCAATCATGTGTAAGCTGGACTGTCTAGCATCTAAATTGTCAAAAACATTTTGTAGATCAAGAACAGATAGATACCCTCGAAGATGTAACAAGTTCTTCACATCACTTAATCTCAGCCCATTTGTTTTGCCTACTATGAATTTGGGCAATATCAAAAGATTTTTGAGATTAGCTATTTCACGCGGCATATCTTTCAAAGATGGCGTATTGGTAATATCAAGATAATGAAGGTCATTCAAGTTCCCAATTGTTGCAGGAAATTTGGAGAACTTATAACAATTCTGTAACAACAATGTCTGTAATGACAGAAGGAAACCTATGGATTCAGGTAAGGTTTCTATGGCAGTTTCAGACATATTAAGGTATCGCAAACACTTCCACTCTCCAATTGAATCCGGGAGCTTTCTTATGTTATAACTTCGAAGAGACAATGCCCTCAAGCATGTTAACTTCACTAACCAACCATGCACCACTGTATTTGATAGATTATTTCCATGTAATCCTGCTAATGCTGATGAATAAATAGAAATGAATGATTTCAAACCCTTCATTTTATTCAAAACTTCAAATCTCTCAGAGATATCTAGCCATTTACAATAAAACGACAAATGGCGGACCTTTTCAGCATTTACTTCTTTCTTTGTGTCCAACATATTTTCAAGATTGCAACATGTTTCTCCAGCAACATATTGAGCTACATCATGTATGAGGTCATGCATTACGTACCTCGATGCATCATTGCTTGAGTGTTGAAAGAAAGCTCTTGAAAGTAACTCAGAGAAGTATTGATGACCAATATCTTCCATTTGATTTTTATCTCCTGATTGTTGTTTCAAAAGCCCATCTGCCATCCACAAGAAGATTAACTCATCTTTGTTAAATTGGTGATCCTTAGGAAACATTGCACAATAGGCAAAACATTGCTTCAAATGAGAAGGAAGATGATGGTAGCTCAACATCAAACCAGCTGGAAGAGTGCTGCTTTGGATTCCTTGAAGATTCCATATCTTACTGTTTAATATGTATTTCCAACCACCAAGGTCTTCTCTATCACGTAAGAGGCCCCCGAGAATTTTTGCAACCAAGGGAAGCCCTTTGCACTTTTTAACCATCTCCTGACCAACATTTTTCAAATTTGGGTGTGCATCAAAGTTCTCTACTCCCAGTGCATCTCGAGCTAATATTGACAAGCACTCATCATCCTCTAGCACTTTTAGGTAGTGAACACTATTCTTCCCACCCATGATTTCTGCAACACGCATGTTACGAGTTGTCACTATGATTTTGCTTCCTGGTGCTCCTGATTTGAAAGGGACTTTTAAGTTATCCCATAGATTGCACTCCTCATTCCAAACGTCGTCTAGCACAAGTAAAAATTTCTTGCCAGATAACTCTCCTTTCAACTTTTCTTGAAGCGAATTCAAATTGTTCAAATTGTTCAAATCACACCTTCCCTTTGTTAATTCCTCTAGGATGTTTCTTGTGATGCTCATAACATCAAATTGATCAGAGACACAAACCCAGGCTTGGGGATTAAATCGTCCTTGCTCCACCTCCTTGTAAACCAATCGAGCTAGGGTGGTCTTGCCAACACCTCCCATTCCAACAATGGGAAGAACGCAAAATACCTCACCTCTAGAACTGCCCTCACCATTGAGCAACTTTTGAAGAATAGCCTCTTTATCATTTTCTCGACCATAAACATCAGATTCAAGTTGAGGAGTGGTGGGTACCCTTCTTGCAGCTGCTCCGGCAGGCCCTTCTCTCGCTTGTATTGTGCAACTCACTAGGCTAAGGGTCCTCGAGCGATCTACCATGCTTTTCAATCTCTTAGCAATCACCCTCACTTTAGAAACGGTGACAGAGTCAAATGCTGAATCATTGTGCTTGAAACAAGGAAGGCATTTAAGGGTGACTTTGCTTGTGCTGGCTTGGTAAGGTTTCCTTGTCAAGGTCCTTCTCTGCATATCAGCCTGGAATCCATCAAGAATGTCCCCCATATCATAAGCCAAGTCCTTGAGATCATCAAGCCATATCTTCACGGAGCTGTCAGTCATCTGCTTCTCTTCAGCATCTTTGAGTAGAGCACGGATTTGTGGATCAAACAATTTCCACCCTTGCAGCTCATCAAGGACCCGTTCTTGTAAGTTGTGGGATTTAATACTTTCGTCTAACTTGTGGAACAGCCACTGGAAAGCAGCAGATAACATCGCATCTCCTACCTTAGACAGTACTTCCATTGCGCAGAACAAGTTCCCTATGAGATTGAAATAATTATTAAAAGTTATTATCCTCCAAATGAAATATCACAACGAAAAAACCATAGAAAGTAATTACAAGCATAAATATGAATATATGTGTGTGATGTACAAAAAAAAAAAAAAAAGAAGAAGAAGAAACAAGAGAGCAATGTGAAAACGTGGAGTAATTAGAAGCATAAATATGTAATATACCTTTTGCCTTTAGCCTTCTTCTTTTTTCTTTTTTTTTTTTGTGGGTTTGAGTGAAGAGGAGGAAGTCAGGAACAAGAAGATTTAAGAAGAAAAGATGGATAAAAGAGAGCGAGAGTTTTATGCCGGAAAAAGGATGAAGAGAGTGTGGAAGACGAGATGAATTTGGAATAGACGAAACGTTGCTTAGATTACTGAGTCTGGCATGGTGCAGAAAGAAAGGGGAGGAATGTTGTAAACACCACCATACGATCTCAATCACTTTTGACCCAGTGAAATCTCAACTTTGCCCTCAAATTTTATTCCAATTGCCTTCCAATGAAGGTCTTTTCGACTTTTCACTACCGCCTAATCACTCAGAAATTGCAACTTCACGGTTAAAGTTCAATTGACTTTTGACTTCTTAAATGTCGAATTTGCCCTTCTAATTTTCCTTTGATTTCGGATTTTGGTACCCCCTCTAACCCAAGAATAAGTCTTCCAAATTCAAACTAAAGCGGCTGAGGCTTTTACATAAAAAAAAATAAGATTGAAAAAAAAAATATATATATATATATAACTAATTTTATATTTGAGTTAAAGGAAGTGGGTGGGAGGGGAGGAAAAAATTTTTTTTTATTTGAATAAATAATTAAATTTAAAAATAAATTAAAATTTATATTTTTTCTTTTATTTTAATTTTTTTATAACTAAATAATTTTTTTTTCCATT